CCTGCAAGTGCCACAAGTAGAGAGAGAGAGATAGGCAAAACCATCTGCTCACTCTAGAGTCCGCGTTATAGCTTTCAATAAGCAGGCTTGTCTATAAGAATGCTCTTATCCATGAGCTCATCCACTTATTTGTCTCAGCTCGACGCAGCAGTGGAGCTGAAGGAAATAGTCGGGCAACTAATGCTTGGTAGCACAAAGCGCCAAAATCATAGTGCACAACAAATATCTGCTGCAGGACAAGACACAAGAATCTCTTTCCGACGGTCAACAGAGGATTCGCTTCCTGAAGGAATTAAAATCTGATGAAATAGCGCACAGCATGCATACAGTGGGGCAAAAAAGTATTTAGTCAGCCACCAATTGTGCAAGTTCTCCCACTTAAAAAGATGAGAGAGGCCTGTAATTTTCATCATAGGTATACCTCAACTATGAGAGACAAAATGAGAAAAAAAAATCCAGAAAATCACATTGTAGGATTTTTAAAGAATTTATTTGCAAATTATGGTGGAAAATAAGTATTTGGTCAATAACAAAATTTCATCTCAATACTTTGTTATATACACTTTGTTGGCAATGACAGAGGTCATCTCATCCACAGGCAACCCGTTTTGGGCGCGGGGAGGGGCATTTTTACTGCGTGATAAATATGAGCAGCACGGCATAGCGGTTTAAATGCATATTTAAATGCCCAGACTCACTTCATGCCACGTCTACGTCTAAAAATAGTACACGAACAAGAGTTGGAAGTGTAAGCGCCAAATCAAATGAAAGTGTCTGCATCAGTGCAGCGCAGCAGGTATCGTTAGAGAGAGAGGGGAAAAACACCAGCTCACTGTTATAGCTTGCTATAAGAATACTCTGAAACACGTGAGCTCTTCCACTTGTTTCAGCTCAACGCAGCAGCGGAGCTGAGGGAAGTAGTTGGGCAACTAATGCTTGGTAGCACGAAGCGCCAAAATCATAGTACACAACAAACATTTGCAGCAGGACTCCTCAGAGTTTGCGTCTAAAAACAGTACACAAACAAGAGTTGGAAGCATATGCACCAAATCAAATGAACGTGTCTGCATTAGTATAGTGCAGCAGGTAACGTTAGAGAGAGAGGGGAAAAACCTCGGCAACCGCAGAACTGGAACAGCGGGAGTTGAACGAACATCTCTCCTTCCTCAGAAAGAGAGCGAGCCCAGAGCGCAACTTTACTTACAAACACAGATATCATGGATACAACAATAGATAAAGGCCGCGAAGCGGTCTTCCTGCCTGTTTCCTCATGAGTCCGTGTAACATGCATCCATACATACCGGAAAACTCATTGTGTCCGCTTTAGAGGAGTAAACTGCTCTAGATAAATAGATGGCTTACAACACAAGAATCTCTTTCCGACGGTCAACAGAGGATTCGCTTCCTGAAGGAATTAAAATCTGATGAAATAGCGCACAGCACGCATATATAAGCATACGTGACGTATGCTCAGGGCGGTGCTAAGCGCTGTTGGCCAATGAATTGGCGTGATGGTATAAGGGCTTCAGACATTCGTCACACCGGAGGTATTCCCATAACGATGATGTCATCGCAACGTTCATAAGTGAACCTATGAAAGGGAACTCTCCTTTCACTTGGCAACTGTGAAGTGGAGCAGGACAACCTCCCACCAGTCCTTGTTTTGGATTCTCATCCACAGGCAACCCGTTTTGGGCGCGGGGAGGGGCATTTTACTGCGTGATAAATATGAGCAGCACGGCACAGCGGTTTAAATGCATATTTATCCATAAATTAATAAATACTAATTCTGCTGTTAAAAACAAATAAAGAAGCCGTGTATGAGAGTAGTTATTATGTGCAAACTTTGTGTTTGTGCAGTGTGCGCATGTCAAAAAAATGTATTCCGATTTGAAGCTTCTGACATATAAACACGCACATCAACCCGATCACTTTATTTAGCATTCATGTAAACACTACATTCAGATTCATCAATCGGAATTAATTCAGTCTGATTGAACCAAAAATTGTGCATGTAAACGTAGCCAGTGTGAGATATTTAAATGTAGAACAATATTTAAAAACATTCCACACCCCTCTTACAATACATCTACTCCTTGACTTGAGTGCAGAATCAAAGTTTTCAGTTTATTTATCTAGAACACAGCATTTAAATAATTCTATTCTAACAATTCTAATGCTGTACACAAGGTCAAGCTACATTATGACACACCCTTCTTCAGTGTTCTGAAGCAATTGCATGTTTTCTGCAGGTAGTCGACCTGAAGCATGTATTCTCAACCTGAAGCACATTCTTGATGCATTTGCTGTAAATTATTTATTTAATGACCCAAACAAAGCTACCTGGAAATGCACTTAGAGAAAAGACTAATGGCAAACCTGGTCAGTTTGTTGATGACATCTCCTTGTAGAGACGACTCCCAGTTCAAAGGATCAAAATGAACAGGCTGCCAGGTCCATAGAGAGTTGTAGGGTCATTGAACACTCAAGGTATTTATACTGTTTTTATATCAAAACCCTGATCAGAAATGACTCACTTCATGCTAGTGACTAGGCACTGTGCCAGTGACAATGCAGTGACTAGGCACTTTGATCAGACTGAATCCCTCTTCAAAATACTTCAAAGAAAAGAGAATTACATAATGTCTCCCATTGCAGTACATGGCAGAGAGATAGACAATATCTAGGATTCCATGATAGCATTGATGTATAAATATGTAAATAGTACATTTTAGTTGAAAATGGGCTTACTTGCACATTTATTCTGAGATAGACATGTCTTTCATAACTGATGTGTTTATAAGATGACTGTGATATAATAGGTATTCTGGAGGCACCTCGAATCAGATGCTATTCATAGAAATATCAATAATGATCATGCTTTTGTTATACTGTACTTGTAAACCTGAGGCCTCCACCTTTATTTTCCTAAATAAAATATAATTTACTTTAAAACTCAACTTAATCTCAGGCAAAAAAAAGCAACTTTTCATATGCAATGTTTTTACTGCACATAAGCTGAAATGTGCAATATGGACTTATTTACAGCATCTGAAACAAAAGTTTTCAATAAAGAACAAGAAAAGTTTTGTGTTGCTGAATTGGTGGCTGATTCGTGTGAATTTGTATGATCTTGTTAGTACATTTTCGTACAATCTGCCAGTGGCAGGTATGTTTAAGAGTGGGGTTAGGGGTGGACATTCACACTTACTTTTTCCCCCTATAAATCGTATGTTTTTGTATGAAAACAAAAAACAAAATCTCAGCTTCATAAAATAGTTATGATTTCCTGTAAGATTGGGTTAAAACTTTTATGTATGGAAAGCTTTAGAAAATGTCCACTATATTATATTTGTATTATACATGTTTACTAGTAAATACATTTGGTTACACTTTATTTCGATAGTCCACTTTAGACATTCTACTGACTATAAGTAACTTTGTAACTACATATCAACTACATGTCAACTAATTCTCATTAATTTGCATCTACACGTCTACTAACTCTCAGAGTAGACAGTGTAGGTTTAGGGTTAGTAGAATAAGTTGACAAAGAAAGTGTTAGAAGATATTAAGCAGACAGTCTACTAATACTCTACTAACTGCTAGTTGACATGTAGTTGCATAGTTACTTGCTGTTAATAGAATGTCTAAAGTGGACTATCGAAATAAAGTGTTACCATACATTTAAATTCAAAGCCGTTGTAAAATATTCTATAAACACACACCTATGATCTTATTACTTAAGTATTACTGTTGCTGTGATTTTTTTTAGGAAACCTTTCCAGGTAAATGAAGTAGCTGTCTTATAAAGGCTGTCAAATCAGCTCCAACATTTCTTTGATGCCTGTTTCACATATATTTTTTCAACCATATTAATCACATTAAATCAGTATTTGATGTATTTGATGTAAAAAAGATTCATAAACATTTGATTTGTTCACACTTAAAATGCCTTTATGTTAGATGCTGAAAATATATGCCGTTAGAGCAAATACATATCTCTGATTACTGACATTAAATATCACTGACCTTATTACATTACCGTTATGCAATTAATATTGTCATTGTTACAGGGATAGTTCACCCACAAATGAAAATTCTGTAATTAATTACTCACCCTCGTGTCATTCCAAACCCGTAAGACCTTCATTCATCTTCGGGAACACAATTTTTTAAATATCTAAGATATTTTTGATGCATTCTGAGAGCTCACTGACCCTCCCATAGACAGCAAGGATATTACCACGATCAATGCACAGAAACGTAGCAAGGAGATCGTTAAAATAATCCATGTGACATCAGTGGTTCAACCGTAATTTTACGAAGCTACAAGAATACTTTTTGTGCACAAAGAAAACAAAAATAACGACTTTATTCAACTATTCGTCTCCTCTGCATCACCCTATAGCACATTTAATAGAGTATCACATACATAAACAACGTATGTACGCGGATACGTTGTTTACATTCAGATCAAAGCGTAAACAACGTAAACTGCTGACTCAGAACAGCATACATTGTTTACGTATGTGATACTCTCCAAAATGGCGCTATAGGGTGACTTTATAGGGAGAGATGAATTGTTGAATAAATTCGTTATTTTTGTTTCCTTTGCACACAAAAAGTATTCTCGTAGCTTTGTAAATTTACGGTTGAACCACTGATGTCACATGGATTATTTTAACGATCTCCTTGCTACGTTTCTGACCCTTGATCGTGTACGGATCCTTGCTGTCTCTGGGAGGGTCAGAGAGCTCTCGGAATGCATCAAAAATATCTTAATTTGTGTTTCGAAGATGAACGAATGTCTTACAGGTTTAGAACGATATAAGGGTGAGTAATTAATGACAGTGAACACAATTTTTGGGTGAAGTATCCCGTTAACATTATCAATCACTGTCATCACCATCATTATAATCATCACTTCACCATCTTTGTCCTCAGATTTTCTACAGTCACCTCACACCTTTCTCATCTCAAGTGTTTTGTTGTTTCAGAGTTTCAGTGGATACCTGAGCTGGTGGCACCTGCAGCCACATCCAGAGCTGCAGACCCTGATTCTAGCAGATTGATTTCGCCTGAGCAGAAAAACACTGCTACACCCAATAGATCTTCAGCTACATCTGTGGACACACAACGAGAACGACCAGACAATGCAAGCACTATTGTGTCTCAACCTACAATATTTAACAGCAATACTGTTACCACAACCAGCATCCCCTTTACAACAACCACAAACCAGATTAGCACTACCCAATCATCTGCTGCTAAACGACACTCCAAAACACCTAGGACAACAATAAGAACTACAACTACACAATTTCCTAAAACAACAACTAGAATCCTGCCTGACTCCACCTCACAGAGCGCTAAGTTGGACCCTTCAAAAAGCACTTTAGGAATTCCAAGAGCTGCTGCTACTGAGGCCTCAATGCTAAGATGTAACATCACTGACAAGATGTGGATAAAAACAGGTGTGATTGCTCAGATCAAATGGTGATCTTTATGAAATTACAGAAAATTGTTGTACTTTAAATCAGTGTGGTAATCATTCAAGTCTGAGTCAAGACTGAGACCAGAAGTGGTTGATTCCTAGTTAAGTCCACATGTTCCCAAGTCATTGACAAGACAAGATTGAGTTCAGTTTCAAGTACTACAACATTTACTGTCATCTGCCACTGCTGTCATCATTCATGCTGAATAAATCTACATGCACATGTTTAATTAATGTTGAAAGCTATTTGTTATCATGACAGCTCATGTAGGTGCTACTGAATCAGTGTTACATTACTCAATAATTGACTTGATCTCGAGTCCAAGAGCATATTTCCATGATGGATTTGGGAGCATGTGTACTAGGTCTTGACTTAAATTTAACCTTCTTCTGGTCTTGACTTGGGCCCTGTTTACAGCTGATATTAAGATGCATTTTGGTTGATCAGGTCATAACAAGTTGAGGAGACACATTTGTGTTTATACCTGTTTTTTAATCAGTCTCTTTTGTTCACTATTTATTTCAATTTCTTTGAGGGAAGAGTCTATAGGTGGGTGTATGTATGGGGTTTTTCTGATCTTTAAATCTAATATTGCAAAATAAGCTCATGCAATTTAGTTATGAGCGTAAAAGGAGACAATGGTAAAGGATTCTTAAACATCTTAATACCAGGTGTAAACAGGTCATTGGATGAACTGATCCTGACTACACCACTACTGTAAATTTCAGTGAGCACAGAATTTACAATGTAATTGATAACCTTATATTTTTCAATGCATTTTCACTTCATTTTTTCCCCTGTCAATGACAATAAGAACTACAACTACACAATTTCCTAAAACAACAACTAGAATCCTGCCTGACTCCACCTCACAGAGCGCTAAGTTGGACCCTTCAAAAAGCACTTTAGGAATTCCAAGAGCTGCTGCTACTGAGGCCTCAATGCTAAGATGTAACATCACTGACAAGATGTGGATAAAAACAGGTGTGATTGCTCAGATCAAATGGTGATCTTTATGAAATTACAGAAAATTGTTGTACTTTAAATCAGTGTGGTAATCATTCAAGTCTGAGTCAAGACTGAGACCAGAAGTGGTTGATTCCTAGTTAAGTCCACATGTTCCCAAGTCATTGACAAGACAAGATTGAGTTCAGTTTCAAGTACTACAACATTTACTGTCATCTGCCACTGCTGTCATCATTCATGCTGAATAAATCTACATGCACATGTTTAATTAATGTTGAAAGCTATTTGTTATCATGACAGCTCATGTAGGTGCTACTGAATCAGTGTTACATTACTCAATAATTGACTTGATCTCGAGTCCAAGAGCATATTTCCATGATGGATTTGGGAGCATGTGTACTAGGTCTTGACTTAAATTTAACCTTCTTCTGGTCTTGACTTGGGCCCTGTTTACAGCTGATATTAAGATGCATTTTGGTTGATCGGGTCATAACAAGTTGAGGAGACACATTTGTGTTTATACCTGTTTTTTAATCAGTCTCTTTTGTTCACTATTTATTTCAATTTCTTTGAGGGAAGAGTCTATAGGTGGGTGTATGTATGGGGTTTTTCTGATCTTTAAATCTAATATTGCAAAATAAGCTCATGCAATTTAGTTATGAGCGTAAAAGGAGACAATGGTAAAGGATTCTTAAACATCTTAATACCAGGTGTAAACAGGTCATTGGATGAACTGATCCTGACTACACCACTACTGTAAATTTCAGTGAGCACAGAATTTACAATGTAATTGATAACCTTATATTTTTCAATGCATTTTCACTTCATTTTTTCCCCTGTCAATGACAGTGTTGTCCGTACAGTTACGGAGGAGTCGTCTAGACAGTATTTTGAAGCAGAATCTCCCTCGAGGGTTTACTCAAGCTCTGAAGAAGGCCTTGAACGACAGCACGGTTCAGGCTAAGGTTTGCACTTCATGAATTTATAACACAGTCATCGTTTACAGTATGTTCTGCATCAAGTACGCACCAACACAAATTACATTTTTTTTAAGCAATGTTTGATGTCTTGATATAACTACCACAATATCTACCCTCTAAATCCAACCCCTTCAGTCATACATCCTTCTCTTAACATTAGCAAACCCATACTGAAATTTTATTATACCTGCAGAGTTAGTGTTTTAGCCAATAACCAGAGTGTAAAACCCATGTGACTGATTGCTCTGAAAGTGCAAGAAAAATATAAATCCTTTTGCACATGGTTTTGATCACTCCAAAAAGATAAAACATCTACTATAATATAAATATTTATTTATTGCTGTATATATGTTGCACACAAATTGTATCATTAAGAATATCCATCCCTGGTTAAAAGATTTGTTTTGCACACATAATGGTGTAATTCACCAGCAGGGGCTAAGCATCCGTGTTATATATCTTGTTTTCAGCAGCTTTTTTGCTGTATTTGTGTCTATTGCTTTCCATCTTCTCTTTCTCATTTTAATATACGTTTACTTCAGATGTGTCCCTTAGTGAAAACTGTATGTCTTATTTTAGTCAAGGGAAGCTAGGCTAATCTGCTAAATACTGACACCTATTAAACCAAACACACAATCATTGTCAGGCAGAGTCAAACCTTACTATAGGAGAAGAAAAAATAAATTGGGTGAAAATGGAAACAGAATACTGCTAGTAGTCACCACTCAGTTACATCTTAGGTTTTTCAGTTACTGAGCTTTTTCTGCCTGTTTGTCCCAAGATAAAAGCTTTGATGTCAATGCAGTCCTCATGTTGGAAGCAATCCGGGGAGAGCTAAAAAGTTTGTGGCTCATCAAATTGTTGATTGAAGGAACTACAGGGGTTTGGATTTAGCCATACTTTTGTAATGTAAGAACATAACATTAAAGCAATTATTCACATCCCCTGGGAATTTATATATATATATATATATATATATATATATATATATATATATATAAAAAAATTTTTATCATTTAGCAGACTTTATCATTTTTATCCAAAGCGACTTACAAATAAGGACAACAGAAGCAATCAATTGTAGTATTAAAACAACTAAAAACAGATCCAAAACTAAAAGCTAAAACTTTATAAATACGACTTATACACATTTTAAAAATAAAGAAATTAAATAAAAATGACAAATGCGTACAACAAAATTTCAAAACTTAACATTTAAATGAAAAACAAAAGATAAAGCTAAAAACAATTCAAAATATTAAAGAACAAAAGGTATAATAGTATAATAATAATTCTAACATAACACTAAGCCAAACACCAATAAAACAACTACATATATGTGTATGTATAACCATACACACACACACACTGTATATATATATATATACATACACATTTATAAATTCAATATATATTTTATTTCATTTCCATTTAGTTTGTTGAAGTATTAAAATAACTCAAATTAAATAAAACTAAAACTTAATAAATAGACCTATACAGGCATAATAAATTCAGACATAATTTAACTAAAATTAAAATAAATAACAAATACAAATAATACAAATCAAACGAAAGTAGTTTATCAGTAATCCTAAAAAATAACACTGCCAAACTTGCATGCTAAAAACAACAACTTACTTACACATACTAAGAAATGGTTATAAAAACTGAAACAGAAGTGAAACATGTAGTAGGAAAGAGGAGAATTAAAAAGCGATACTTATCCTTTGCCGGTGTCCCTGCCCGGTGGGGTCGCACGGTAGATTCGATGGTCTTTACACTCTTCGGTCTTCACACGAGGAGGCCATCATGCGATGGCTGCCGCGGTAAACTAAGCTTTTTTATACCCATCTAACAAAATACTAAATTAACTGAGAAGGGTCTGGCTGCAGCCTTGCACTTGCACTCTCAGACTTGCACTCTCAGACACTTGCGCTTCCGCTAGCGACGTCACTTGCAGTCTTTTTTTTGTTCTATTTATTGATTACTTTTTGTTTGAATCTCTCAACATTTTACAACAGTAACCAGGTGGTGAAGACAAGAAAAAAGAAACTAAATTACAAAGTCACTTGCAATCGTCACTTGCACTCTCCGATACCTGCCACGTCACTTGCAATCGACACAAATCGTGCATTTTGCCAATGGAGACAAGAAGCCGTGGTGGTGATTAAACGATTAAAACCAATTTTATACTATAACGTACAGGGTCCTGCAAGAAAAAGGCAAGACCCACAAATCTGTGGCCACAGAACAGCAGAATATGAACGCAATGCACAAAGTCTCTCGTTAACGTTTTCCTCCTGTAGAAAAACATAAACACTTAACATGGCTTAATGTATTAAGATGCATTAAGTGCAATTAAAAGATCAAATTCGATATATAGTTATCATTTAATGTACTACAAGGCAAGTTAATTCAGCTGGACACACTTTCCTTATTTTTTCCACAACAAATGGTCAAGCAAGCGCAGACACTGACAAGATACGCGATACAGAACGAGACCTTATTCTGAAATGTTACTATTACAATTAGTAGTGTAGATAGTCCTGCCCCCAGCCGATGGGCTGGGCTGATTCAATGCTGGGCTGATATTCATGAAACAGCAGTTTTGCTCCTGTGATGTTGCTTAATTACATCTTGAATCAGAATCAAGCATTCAGCAATGCCACAGCATAATACAATAAAGTTCTTTTGAGAATCGTACTGTTCAGAGAATGTTTGTGCAGTGCACATAACGGAGTTCTGCATGTTTCAGCAACTTCTTTTCATTTGGTTTCTTCTATGTGCATATCGTTGTTGTATGTGTGTGTAGTTCTGAGGTTTGTAGGGCCAGGAGATGACCTCAAGTCCTGCCGATTTACTCAGATGATGGAGCAGAGACTGGAGAATGCTTTTGCTGAAGCAGAGGCCATATTGATGAACTCACACAGCGGTCTCACTGTACAGGTGGGAGGGCCTAAACTTCAAATTACCTTTATTTTACCTTTATTTATTTTGTATTTCAAATGAGGAGGTTTTTGTTTTGTTCTGTTCTTTTTTTGGGGGGAGCGTAAGTTCTCCCTGGCATTCCTCAGTTATACAAATAGGATGTAACATATGCAATTGTAACACTTTTTATTTCCTTTTATATTCCTTTAGGGAAAAGTGTTGGTAAAGGATACAGAATTTACATATAATCTATAATAAAGATTACAATTATATACAGTGGGTACGGAAAGTATTCAGACCCCCTTAAATTTTTCACTCTTTGTTATATTGGAGCCATTTGCTAAAATCATTTAAGTTAATTTTTTTTCCTCATTAATGTACACACAGCACCCCATATTGACAGAAAAACACAGAATTGTTGACATTTTTGCAGATTTATTAAAAAAGAAAAACTGAAATATCACATGGTCCTAAGTATTCAGACCCTTTGCTCAGTATTTAGTAGAAGCACCCTTTTGATCGAATACAGCAGATCGCCCAGCCATGGAGGTATGCTGAGGCAGTGTGTATACCAAAAGAGGAGAAGTCTGAGAATATCGACCAGTTTCGGGTTATATCCTTGCTCAGTGTGGAGAGCAAAATCTTCTTTAGCATCGTGGCTAAGAGGCTCTCCAACTTCCTGTTGAGCAATAAGTACATCGACACGTCTGTGCAAAAGGGAGGTATACCAGGAGGTCCAGGTTGTCTGGCACATTGTGCTGTTGTTCAGAATATCAGCACAGTGATTACCTGCTGTTGAATAACTGCCTACAATGCTTAAAATGAACTAAACTAGAAATTTTGTATTTTGTTCAAAATTTTGTATGATACATGTTTAAATTAACAGATGATAATACATCTAAAAATTAAAAAAATGTTTTTTGGTATTTTCGACATTTGTTTTGTTTTTTAATAGTTTTGGTCATAGTTTCAGCAAAATAGATTAAAATGATTCACTGTTGTACATGGAAGCATCTCTGGGGGGATGACGTAGGATGTCGCCGTTGTGCATGCACCGCTCAGAAGTGACGAACGCGGAAGCACAGGGGAGAGATCAAAACAAAACAACGGTCACGAATTAGAAGTACAAAACAAGGATTTGTTAAGAAGAATGTCGGAGAATTTCGATATAAGCCAAGAGGAGACTGGCTTTCCTTTGCTAAAGTAAGGAAACTTTGCTTCCTTTGCTCCTGTAAACAAACGTTGGTTTTCACGAGACTCACCGAGGCATGCGCAACACCGGCATCTTACGTCATCCTCCCAGAGCTGCTTCCGTGTACAACTGTTGGCACAAGCTAGATTAAAGTGATTATTACGTTTATCGTATATATGATATATGATATACGATATCGTAATATGGATATTTTTCTTACAAAAACACATCGATTCGCTACAGGAGGCCTTTGTTCATCCCCTGGAGCCGTGTGAGGCACTTTTTTATTATGGATGGATGCGATTTCACTTGTTTTGGACTGATGAACTGCAACACCCGCTGAGTGCCATTAAACAGCTTGGAAGATCAAAGTCAATTTTTTTATATAACTCCGACTGGATTCATCTGAAAGAAGGAAGTCATATACACCTAAGATGGCTTGAGGGTGAGTAAATAATAGGGTTAATTTTTGGGTGAACTATCCCTTTAAGATATTTTAGATGGAATCGTCTCGGTTACGTATGCAACCCTCGTTCCCTGAAGGAGGGAACGGTGACGTTACGTCAGTGAGTGACGAATTGGGATCTCACTAGAGAGACCAATCACCTTCGAGTGTTAACAAAATAAGCCAATAAGTGTTGGCGTGCGATCTTTGTGTCGCGCACTCCGCCCAGCAGCGCGGGTATATAAGGAGAGCGCTTGCAGTCGCACATTCAGTTTTTCGCTGAGGAGCCAAGACAGTATGCCTCGGCCGTACAGCGGTGGTACAGCAACTGTGGCGACGGGACATAACGCCTCCGTTCCCTCCTTCAGGGAACGAGGGTTACATATGTAACGAGACGTTCCCTTTCTGTCAGTCACGTTCAACATTACGTCAGTGACTGACGTATTGGGATCCCAATGGAAAACGCTACTATTGCTGACCCCATCCATTGCCCTGCGAAAGCCGGCAAGTTCCCCCACGCCAGTTGGGGTGGACAATGGAAAACGCTACTATTGCTGACCCCATCCAGTGCCCTGCGAAAGCCGGCAAGTTCCCCCACGCCAGTTGGGGTGGAAGATAGGACAGGCCTTAGGCAGAGGTATCCGCCACTGCCGTTCCACACAGTGGGATATTGGATAACACTGGGAAAGCGTACCCAAGTAGGGGAACTAGGGTAAGTAAGATCCTGCGTATAGGAGGTATCATGTGGAAGTTACACATATGAACTGGCCATAGGGCAGTGCTACATATGGAAGTCCCTGCAGTAGACTCAGCCCACCTGGGGTGAGATCACTACGCAGCAGAGACCACAGAGAAATCTCTGCTAGGGAAGACACGGGCTTACCAAGAGGGAAGCTGTACTGTGGAAGAATACACATGTGGGATCACCCGACGGGGGAATCACTACACACGGGCACCTAGCCCAGCACAAGGCTGACCTTGGGCATACACACGAGTGCTGGACCTGGCGTCTGGCGCTCCGCCACGCCTGACCGCCGAGGGTGCGGGAGGAACTTCAATATGGTTCACCAAAAGGGAAACTTAACTGAGAAGCACTTAAGTACACATATCTGGTCCGTAGAGGGGAATGGCGCAGCAAGCATGATCGACACCGAGTGGGTCCGGTGTTACTGACCCTCTGAGTTAAGTACACGAGAGGACACGAGCTCTACATGGAGATTATAGAATCTCGCAAACATGTTAGGTGTCGCCCAGCCGGCAGCTCTACAGATGTCTGCTATCGAGGCGCCCAGCGCCAATGCCCAAGAAGATGCCTCTCCACTCGTAGAGTGTGCTCTCACTCCGAGGGGGCACGGTAAACATTGGGCCTGGTATGCCAAGACTATAGCCTCCACTATCAGAGTGGGCAAGTCTTTGTTTGGAGACAGCATTTCCCTTCTGCTGTCCTCCAAAGCAGACAAAGAGCTGGTCTGAGGTCCTGAAGCTCTGCGTGCGGTCCACGTAAATGCACAAAGTGCGAACAGGACAGAGCAGAGCAATGGCTGGGTCTGCCTCCTCCCGGGGCAGCGCTTGCAAGTTCACCACCTGATCCCTGAAATGCATGGTGGGAACTTTGGGCACATATCTGGGCCGGGGTCTCAGGACAACGTGAGAGTCGGCCAGTACGAATTCCAGGCACGTGTCGTCGACCAAAAATGCCTGCAGGTCCCCCACCCTCTTGACCGAAGCCAGTGCAGTGAGGAGCACTGTCTTTAAAGACAGAAACTTAAGTTCTACTGACTGCAGATGTTCGAAGGGCTCCTCCTTCAATGCGACCTCAGATGCTTCTGACTCCAAAGGAGGAGATGGCAAGTGAGTTGCAACATGCGACGGGACCGTAGACCACCCTGGTGGTTGATGTACACAACGGTCGCAGTATTGTCCTTCCGGACCAGTACGTGCTTGTCGTCTAGCAGCGATTTGAAGCGGCTCAGAGCAAGCCATACTGCTAGCAACTCGAGGCAATTGATATGCAACTGCAGACGAGGCCCTGTCCAGGTGTCCCCGATGCGGCACACCCGTTGCACATGGCACCCCAGCCCATGGCAGAGGCATCTGTTGAGACAACAACATGCCTGGACACTTGTACTAGGGGAACTCCTGCCCGAAAAAAGGCTAGGTCCGACCACGGGCTGAAGGTCTTGCGGCAGGACGGGGTGACTGAGACCTGGTGAGTGCCAGGCATTGCCATGCCCATCTCGGGACTCGTCGTGAAGCCAACGCTGAAGCGGTCTCATGTGAAGCAATCCAAGTGGCGTAACAGCGGCAGCAGATGCCAAATGCCCCAGGAACCTCTGAAACTGTTTCAGTGGGACCGCCCTCCTGCGCTGAAATGACTCCAGGCAGTTCAGCATCAAATGAGCGCACTCTACTGAGAGGCGTGCTTTTAGACTGATCGAGTCCAACTCCATACTGAGAAAAGAGATCCTCTGCACGGGGGAGAGTTTGCTCTTTTCCCAGTTGACCCGAAGCCCCAACCGGCTGATGTGGCTGAGTACCACGTCCCTGTGTTCGCACAGCTGTGCTCGAGACTGGGCCAGTATGAGCCAGTTGTCGAGGTAGTTGAGAATGCGAATGCCTCTTTCCCTCAACGGGACGAGGGCTGCCTCCACGACCTAGGTGAAGACACGAGGTGACAGGGACAGCCCGAAGGGGAGGACCTTGTGCTGATATGCTCGCCCCTCGAACACGAAGCGGAGAAACGGCCTGTGTCAAGGGAGGATCGAAACATGAAAGTACGCGTCCTTCAGGTCGATCGCTGCAAACCAATCGTGCGGATGAACACATCGAAAAATATGTTTCTGCGTTAACATCTTGAACGGGAGCCTGTGAAGGGCTCCGTTCAGAACGCACAGGTCCAGGATTGGTCGTAACCCACCGCCTTTCTTGGGTTCAATGAAGTAGGGGCTCAGTTGTCGAGGTAGTTGAGAATGCGAATGCCTCTTTCCCTCAACGGGACGAGGGCTGCCTCCACGACCTAGGTGAAGACACGAGGTGACAGGGACAGCCCGAAGGGGAGGACCTTGTGCTGATATGCTCGCCCCTCGAACACGAAGCGGAGAAACGGCCTGTGTCAAGGGAGGATCGAAACATGAAAGTACGCGTCCTTCAGGTCGATCGCTGCAAACCAATCGTGCGGATGAACACATCGAAAAATATGTTTCTGCGTTAACATCTTGAACGGGAGCCTGTGAAGGGCTCCGTTCAGAACGCACAGGTCCAGGATTGGTCGTAACCCACCGCCTTTCTTGGGTTCAATGAAGTAGGGGCTGTAAAACCCCGACTTCATATCGGCTGACTCTATCGCGTCCTTCACCAGCAGGACTGCGATTGCAGCTCGCAAGATGGGAGCATCCTTGTTCGGCACAGAGTTGAACCGAATGCCCCTGAAATTGGGAGGATGCTGGGCAAACTGGATCGCATAGCCGAGTTTGATGGTTCTCGTGAGCCAGCGAGACGGTCTGGGGAGCACTAGCCAGGCAATGAGAACATGATTCATCCATGAGCGCTGCCTCAGCGTACTCAAAGCCCAGGCACGAGATGCAGCGATCGTGACCATCAGATGGAGCCAGGTAGCGACCACATCTAGAAACACACGAGTGGAAGGCCATCTTTAAAAAGACTCTTTTAGATTTGCTCTTTTAGAAAGAAGGAAGTGTTGAAGCGCCCAGGAGAGGCCGCGGCGCGACCGCAGTTTGACGAGCTGCAGCCCACATCCAACACCAAAGGCAGCAGCACTGGACCAGCAACCACCGCTGATGCGCCGTAACACCGACACTGTGAAATGCTGTCTTTCAGACACTCTTGCTTGGTTGAAGACACAAGCTGAAAGGTTCGGCTCCGAAGCGAAAAGGTGAATGTGCGACTGCACACGCTCTCCTTATATACCCGCGCTGCGGGGCTGGGTGCGTGACGCAAAGATCGCATGCCAACTCTTTTTGGCTTGTTTTGTTAACACTCGAAAGTGATTGGTCTCTCTAGCGAGATCCCAATTTGTCAGTCACTGACGTAACGTTGAACGTTACTGACTGAAAGGGAACTGAGAGCTCTCTGACCCTCCATAGACCGCAAGGATATTACCACGATCAACGCACAGAAACATAGCAAGGACATCGGTAAAATAGTCCATGTGACATCAGGGGTTCAACCATAATTTTACGAAGCTATATGAGAATACTTTTTGTGCGCAAAGAAAACAATAATAACATAATTTATTCAGCAATTCCTCTCCCCGAGTTACCGTCTTCCGCCATTTTGGAGAGTACCCCAGAACAAAATGCCTCACATCTCTTGCAAAATGAAGCACTGCATTCAAAATATCTTAAACATATTTGCAAACACCTTTGCTATAATATTAATTCCTGTTAGATTGCTGTTTGTTACATAGAGAATTGTGTGTGTTTTGCAAAAAGTGTTTTATGAAATTGAAAACTGAGTCAAAGGCCGAGAATTAGTGTATGGTTTTGCAGATTTGGTGTGTGTGGTTCTGGTGTTTGAGTGTCAGGTTTCAGAAATTGTGTGACAAGTAAAGATTTTGTGTAAAAACTGTAACATCTCTCCACGTCTCTGCAGTGATTCAGGATGTGGAAAACTCCTCTCTAGAAGGACAGTACCACAGTTTTGCTAGTCTGATGGAGGAGCGGTTGGCTGAGCTCTTCATGGTAGCTCACCAGCAAGGCGTCCGCTTCAAGCGGGCAACAACAGTGGGCAGTTACACTGTCCAGGTACGACCTAATAGAATTGAAAGTGCTAATTTAGCAAAGTAATTACGAACAAATAATTAGAAAACATATTCACATGCCATAAGAAATTACTCATAGCCTAATTGGACCCAACTTTAGTAATTTCTTACTTTATTAATTAGGTTATGTGAATCTGTTTTCCAGAATCAATGCAACATTTGTATTGTATTGTATGCAACTTTGTAACAGTAGGTGGAGTGGGTAGGGTGTAACATGGACAGAATTTCTCTTTGAATTTCGGCACAAATCCAATTATAAACCAGCAACAATTGCTTTAAATTTTCACACAAAAACTTATACTCTACAAGTACTTCTGTTATCATGCATGATAGGGATTTCACCCCTGTTGCTCATTTCTAATTAATTACTCTTACAGTGTCACCACACCCCCAGTCTCCCTCCTGTAGGTTATTTGATGGAAAATATTCAACTTTTAAGGTTTACCAAATGAAAATGTGCCTACAGGAAGTGATCAAGCTGTGTTTCATTGTATTCAGATGGTTAGTATCAGACATGTACATGGGCCAAAAAACCCAGCTGAGATGACCTACTACGTCCAGCAAAACGGGACCCCACTGCTAGGCACATCTGCAGCCAAGCTTCTGAACACAGTGGACTCGCAGACCATGGCGCTCACGCTGGGATACTTTGTCCAAATGCAGGCTGAAGGTCAAAATTACTTTCTCTTTCTTGTCTACTTACTAGAATTATATACATTTTTGACCCACTTCGCATTGTGTCTTAAACTACTATGTACTTAATTTAAATTAATCATCTAATACCATGCACAATTGTGTACATACCTGTATATTTTACATTGTACTTATATTTAGAAATACTGAAAAAATATCTGAATTTATATCTGTAATAATTTATGTAGTTACATCACTTCAATTTCACTGTCTACAGTACCCTCACATCTTAACCAACCCTTAAGCTTAACCAAATCAGTCGATAAACTTAACTGTACACCACTTCAATAGCACTTCAACAAGTGATTTGCAATTCAAAATGAACAGAATAGGTAGCAGTTATTTATTTATTTATTTTGCATACTGGAAGTAAAATAAAGTACATGTAGTTAAAGACACCTATTATAAAGTGGGACCAAAATTTACTTACAGGAATGTTACTGTATGCAGAATTACTTAATTTACAAGAGATTCACTTACAAAAATATAGATATGTAACTAAGGATACTTTTTTCTCCAACCGAGACGTGCAAAAATGTTATCAAATTATTTGTTGTGGTGATCAGCATTATGATACATATTGTATACTGTTGGCAAAGCTTAATTTAAATCAAACCCAGAACATTTCATGTGCCTCTATTACTGTAACGGGGCTGACAAGACACGAGACATGTGGATCCATCTGCAGGCTTTATTTAAGAGACGTGGTAAACAGGCAGGGTCAAAACACTGGCAAACAGCTATATGGCGGGCAAAACACAAGAATAGTCACAGGGCTAGCGTAGGTCACCGATAAACAGACAGAATCACAGGGGCGAGTCGAGAGGGAGAAATCCAAGAAAACAGGCAAAGATCAAAAACAGGCAAGGCAAGGCAAGGCAAGGCAAGGCAAGGCAAGGCAAGGCAAGGCAAGGCAAGGCAAGGCAAGGCAAGGCAAGGCAAGGCAAGGCAAGGCAAGGCAAGGCAAGGCAAGGCAAGGCAAGGCAAGGCAAGGCAAGGCAAGGCAAGGCAAGGCAAGGCAAGGCAAGGCAAGGCAAGGCAAGGCAAGGCAAGGCAAGGCAAGGCAAGGCAAGGCACGGAGACTCGGAAAGGGGTACAGGCTAAACAATACTCAGCAGAGAAAGGTGGTTAGAGTGGGTGTTATATAGTGAATGAGGTAATTAGAAACAGCTGTGTGCAATGAGTGCAATCAGGGCAGTGTGCAA